CCTATTTATTTCAGAAAATTCTTTGTTATTCTCATTGAATATTTTTGACTGAAATATTTTAATTCCCATTTCAATAACTTTTTATGTATTTTTAATTCTATGTTGTTATAATTGCTAGAAAATCTAAACAGCTATTTGATCATATAATTTACATTTTTTTAATCTGGGGAATGTAACCAGCATAATTTTATAGAGGACACTTTATCTTAACGCATGCTCTATTTGTAATGTACACGTCTACTAATAAAGAATGTAAGTGTTAAGCCTCGCGTGTGTTATTGAGGTAAACTACGTTGTCGGTTTTCATTAAGAAGCAGTTAACCTTCGACTTTGGAAATAACTTTGTTATTTCTACAACGTATTTTTTATTTTAATTTGAACAACAGTAAAGAAATGGGTAAGTAAATGTACATTTAATTCCAAAACTTAAATTTAAGTAGACTTTGGACGTTAATTTCAGATCTTTCCGTGAGCCAACCGTAACCCTTTCAATGTTTCATTGTTCAAGTTCAACAACACGAAGTGAACTTTGAACTTGAAGTTAGTTTCCGTCGATCAGTTTAGTGTAACGTTAGTCACACAGCCCACTGGCGTGATTTTTTTTTTTTTGTATTCATTTAATGATTTATCTAATCTAATGTACTGTATAGTGTATATGCCATCTCTGGATTAAGGCATTTTGAGAAAACTGGTACTGGAAAGCTTTATCAATATCATCAGTTTATGATTGGGGAAAATGATGTCAGTCACACTCACAGAAAGAAAAAAGTAACAACTAATGCCCCACTGTGTTATGTGTTAATACTGTTAAGAAATTAGATTTGCCTCGACTGTTGAGTTAAACAAGTGGGACTGCTAACACTCGTTACCATCTAATGACGTTTTAAATTTAATTTAAAGTGTAAGACTGTATTGTGCAAATTAAACTTAATTGTTGGTTTTATACTTCAAAATTCTTTTCTGTTACTTATTTTTATTTTTATCTACTTTGTCTATTTCATAAGTAATATATTTTTTAAGTAGTTACAGCTAGTTTTAAGGTAATTATTTTGGTAAAGGCTTAGGAAAACTGCAGTGGATATTTAATTTTGAGTTTCACCAGTGATTTGCTTGTCTGCTTAAAATGGCATATTCTGCAAACGTTTATATTAGCAAACTAGTATGAACAATTTGCTCAGAAAATTTTATGTCTACAGCAACAATGATTTAATTAAAATTTTTACATACCTAATTTTCTAATAATTGTAATACAAATTTACTCCCATAAATCATGACTAAATATTCAATCTACCAATTGACTTAAACCATATTAACTCCCAACAAAACATTACCAATCCACCATTATTGAAAGTCTCAAAGTAAACATAAAAATTTTGTGATTATGTATGGTTTTGACATTTCATTGTCATCACTTTCATGGAACTGACACCAGACTAAGTAATTTTACTGTCTCACCTGTTGTGTTGTATGATGCTGAGTTTACACTTCTACCAAGATTCTTATTATTATATGCTAGAATTTTAAGAAACGAGACTGATGAGTTTAAAGCTCTTGTTGAAATAGAATTAAGATATGGGAATTGCTGAGATTGTGTTGGATTTAGACAATTTTGATTATAGAAATTTATTTAAAATATAAGGCTGTAAGTTGTGTAACAGAGTTAGAGTATTTAAAAAAAGGGGAGGTGTAGCTTTATTTATATGTGAGGCATGAACTTTAGCTGAGGATATTAAAAGAGGATAACAAGAGAGTTAAGTCAATATGGGTCTCTGTTAGTAGATATAGAGGTAAAAGACTTAATTGAAATCTATTTTAGACCACCTGGTCAGACTGATAAAAAACTATGTAATCAGATCAAGAATGCATCAGCTAATGAGGATTTAATCATGGCAGATTTTAATTTTAAGAACATTGAGTGGGAGACTGTAGTGTCAAATAGTGGCCCAAAGCTGTACAAGCTTGAAATAAAAGAAACAGCTTGTGATGCTAAAATTTAGTTATGATACCCCCCTTCCCTTCCCCCTCCAGATAGCCTGTTATGTATCTTTGTGCTTAAGGACAAACATAATGACAATTATTTGGATAGTTGGAATAATTAAAAATAATTATAGGTATAATCAGAACAACTAATTTCAATTACTTTAATAGTTTACGTGGCACCAATCAGTTTAATCGATGCTCATGGGTAATTAAATTTCCCAGCTCTACAGAAGACTAAGCTGGATAATGTTTTGTTTTTGTTTTTAGGGGAAATGACCGGCATTGTTCAGATAATTATAGGTCAGTTAGTCTTACTTTTTAATTGTAAAAGTCTTAGATTGACTGATTAAAGATGCTTTGCAAAGCAACCTAACAAAGTTTACATTTTTCTTGAATAACTAATATGATTTCACTTGAGGGAAAATTTTGTCTTAAAAACATTATGGCCTTAGAAGCTGTCAGTGCTGTTATGTTTATGATGGTAAGGTTTGGATTTGGTATATTGGGATTTTTGTAAGGCTTTAGACAAAATGACCCATAAAAGACATAATTATCTGTGGTTGTGGGAAACAAGTAGTTCATTGGATTAAGGGTTGTAATAAATGGATTTCAGTCAAATTGGATTGTAACTGGAAGTAGAGTATGGTTGTGCTGGAATCCTTAATCTCTGACTTATATTAGTGATATTGGTAAGTGAATGGTCGATAGATTGGACAAGGTTGATGATGTTTTGGGTTTGTTTATGAAGAGAGTGCTGTTATTTAGGGGGAAAAAAGAAGGATTTGGATCACTTGGGCAGATAACATTTAATTATGCTAAATGCAAGATAGGGCATGTGAAATACCTTAATTTAAACTAAAATTACAACCTTGTTCAAAATTCACTCAATGGTGTTAGGGAAGAAAATGATTTGTTTTGATTGATTATGTTTCTTAAGCCTTCCAAACAGTGTGTTGTTGCCAGTGGGAAAACAAGTAGGACTTTGTATTGTATCTACAGGAATATTGAATATTAGTTAAAGGAGGTAGTCATTTCTTTGTAAAGATCCCTAGTTAGGCCTCATTTGTAGTATTGTTTCAGGTGTTAGAAGGACATTGAATTGTTGAAAAGGGTTCAAGGGAGGGCCACTGGGGTGGTTCTTGAAATGGAGAAACTGCTATATGAGGATTGAGGATAGATTAAAGCCCTTGAAATTATTTTATCTTATGAAACCAAGTGTTAAAGTGGATCTGAATTACGTATTCAAAATTATTAAGTGAATAGGTAGGATTGATGCATCTTCATAACTAATAGTAAAGTGTAGGACTAGGAAATGTAGGATAGAAGTTGTCTATAAATTAGGCAATTTTATTGTTTGAAAAGGATGGCCAGCCTTTGAAATAGGTTGCCTTCAGACATGGTAGATGCAATGGGAAAGTTCAAGAGCAGCCCTTGATATCATCTGTAGCATTTTATGAAAAATGTCAAAATAAATTCCATCATAAGAAAAAATCCTTAATTGTTTTTCCTGTAAATAGCATCAAATATTAAGATTTTATATAAAAATCAAATCACTGATAAATAACTAACATTTAATATACAATAACCTCACATTGCCTAATTTGAAATTTCAGTCTGGATTGAATTTAGTGTGTTGCTGTAAAAAACAAGGATAATGTAAAGTTTGCAAAAGTTCGTACTATAGTTTTGAGTTTTTAGGATTATCTATCAAAATGTTTCTGAGTGATTCTGTAAAGCTTTGTCCTCATGGGTGAATTATATACTAAAACGATTGATAATTCTTTGGCTAGAAGCTATTATGCTTCATTACTTTCATTAATAAAATATATTTGTTCAAAATGTGATTCAAAACCAGAACTAATGCACACAATATCAAACAATAAGTAGTTTTAATATTGGAAAGGACATTGAAGTTTTTCTTTAAATTTACAGTAGTTTGAAATATTGTAGCTACTATTTTGTAGAGGGCAAGTAGAAAAGATAAGTTCAATTGTATATTATTTAAAAAATGATAAATATTTATGTTTGAAAATAGTTATTCTGACTGTTTCACCATATTTTATCAGCATTAAACAATACAAGTTTCATTTTAAATTTAATTTTGACTTTCCAGGGAAATTTAATATTGTAGGGGTGGAACATGACAAAGCTGATACCTAGTGGAAGTTTGTTACCTCAATGAGAACTCTCTTTTACCCTTCTATTGTATTAAATGTATACAAGCAGAAACCTGCAAAATGTTTGTGGTAAAATAAACCTCTTTATTGCAACAGTACTTCTTTAAATACAGGATTTATAGAATAATACAAAATAATTTTAATCACAGACACAGAAATCTACAAGTCCACTTGTCTTAGATTTAACAATTGTTAAGCCTTTATTAAGCATGGCCTATATTTGATAATGAGAAGATAATATTGTAACTTGTATGTTTTTTGCTTTAATTAGGGCTAAACTTTACCATACATAATACTATCAATAAATTAACTTGTTATTCTACGACTTAACATTAGACCTTTTTAAACATTTTCATAAACTTTTAATATGTTTCAGAGGTTTTGCTAGCTACTTAAAATATTCTGGACTCAGGCCCATAGGTGCAATAATCTTTGGTATTTCAATGTGATTTTTCACTATCTGGAGATTCTGGGCACTGTCAATTAAAATTGGGGCATGGGCCTCATGTACCAGACCTTGGCGATGCCTCTGTGTTAATGTACAAAATGTCTACTAAAGTATATTTACATCCATTGATATGGTGCACTCATTTTCAGGACAGACAGAAACTAAGTATTATTATAATAGTTTATTGTATTGTTATGATCAGTGTGCTTATAGTAATTTTTTTTTTTGCCATGGACTTTGTTTTAATTTCAAGGACTGAAGAGAAAGCTTGATTGATATTTAAAAAAACTAGGTCAGGATATAGGGTGTTTGGTGAAATGAATGGGACAACCATGAAGGACCAGAAGGCCTTGTTTATGAAATGTTACATTTTTATTCAAATCTTCTATACTTGACAAAACCAGGAAAATTAAAATTGTATACTGTATAATTGTTTTTTAACTATATTTTTATTTATTTCTTAAAGTAATGTAGGTATTTGATGTTCTGTAATGGCTGATCTAATTGAAAATTAACAAGACTGCTTTCAGATTCTTTTCATGTAGAATTCTGAGACAAAGTTCAGGCAGTCTCACTGTAGACAAGTTTTATTTTTCCAGCAGAACATTTAAATATGTGGAACAAATTGACATCTAGAAATTGGTAGAGGCTGTAAACTTTATAAGAATTGATGAATATTTGGGGATCAGTGGAGGTTGGGATGTCCCATGATTTATATGTTAAGTTGAATAATGAGTAACCAATTTTTCTTAATTCCCTTTTATATACATCTTCACCAAAATCCAAAGCATGTGGCCTAAATCTGTGAAGTAAAATTTTTGTAATTTATTTCAGAACAGGTAAAAATGTTTATATTTTTCAATAAAACATAAAATTATAGTATTGCATTGGTATATATATATATAAACTGTGCAATTCTTATGGTTTAAAAAACGAACCCATCATACATGTATGGCTTGAAGCCTAAAAGGTAAATGTCAGGAGTTCAGACTTTCATTTATTCCTCTTTGTTGTGGTGCTTTTTTTGAGTTCCAGTGATCAATGATGATCACTTTAGAACATAGGATACATTTATGTAACATTCAGAAATTTCAAACTCTTATTCTATGATATTTCTTGAATAGCCATAGGAGGTACACTATTTCAGTTGTTAAACAATCAGTACATCACTGTTAGTAAAGACTTTAGTTATACATACAAGCACTGTATGATTTATTGAAATATTTTGTTTTTGTTTAAAAGTAAGAAAGTGTTCGGTTGATAACTAGACATTATGAATATTTTAGACAAATCAGTGACTGGAATCAAATGATCCCTATCACAATCTCTAGCTTGCTGTTGGGTGTTCTGAAACTATAAGAATATAAAGTCTTGTACGGTAATCTAAAACATTAAAATTTGTATTTGAATTCATATTCAAATAATAGTAATGTTTACTTTAAAAAAAAGTCTTGGGCAGTGAGTAAGATCTAATGTTTTGAAGTTTGCTTTTCATGTTCTTGGTTGATAACAAACAATAGATGTTAAAAAAGGCAACAGAACACAGAATCTCATATTGTATACATTACAATGTGAATATGTTCATATATACAGCTATCATAATTTTTCTTATTAAATGCTATTTTTCGTGAATTATTGATGCCTTTTTTTTAATCTTGTAGGTGGTCTTCTAAGCTATTTCAAAAGTTTGTTAGGCAGTCGTGAAATGAGAATTCTGATCCTTGGTCTCGATGGAGCAGGGAAAACTACTATATTATATCGACTGCAAGTTGGAGAAGTTGTAACAACAATACCGAGTAAGCAAAAGCATTTTATAAAGAAGAGCTTAAATATGATTGGTTAGTTATCTTTCTGATGGAATTTTGAGTTTTATGAGGTCCAACACAGATAAGAGTTGGTTTGACAACAAGGTTGCTGGGTTTGAGACTATGCTGCTGAACATGCTATGCTTTTCAGCTGTGGGAGTTATAAAGATTGCAGTCAGTTACAAAAAACTGGTGCTGCTTAGCTGACTGTGTTCAGTTCGGCCAAAAAGTTCATAATTATGGATTGTTTTATATAAAACCTAAAAATATGTTCCAATTTTATTGTGTAATTTTTCAAGATTATTACATCTTATTTACTGATAAATATTTTATTCTGAGCATTGAGTTTTCTGTGATGTGGTTTTTAATAGTTTTATGATATTTAAAGCTACTTTCTATTAGAAATTAACAGCTTTTGTCCAGTTTCCTGGTTAGTTCTTTTGCCTCGTTCCTGAATATTAAGTTCTTGATATGCACGTTATCAATTTGTTTTAACCTCAAAATTACCAGTCTTAAAAATGTATAAATATATGTATGCAGTTACAGTTTTATGTATTTTTTTCTTTCAGCCATTGGATTTAATGTAGAACAAGTAACATACAAAAACCTTAAGTTTCAAGTGTGGGATCTTGGAGGACAGACTAGCATTAGGTAGGAAACTTTCTTAAACCATTTGATACATAGATTTCTCTTGACAAATAAGTTAATAAATATGCATGTTTTTATCAGGTGATGTTGTTCATTCAAGTGGTTCAAGGTTACATAAAGGTCAGGTGTCGATCATGTACGAGTGGTGTACTTGATGAAGTTAGAGTAAATGTAAGAAAATATAATTATAGATAAAATATAGCAAAATAATGAGTTTTATTGAATTCACCTCAGACTAATTAGATAAAATATAGCAAATCATGAGTTTTATTGAATTCGCCTCAGACTAATTAGATAAAATATAGCAAATCATGAGTTTTATTGAATTCGCCTCAGACTAATTAGATAAAATATAGCAAATCATGAGTTTTATTGAATTCACCTCGGATTAATTACATAAAATATAGCAAATCATGAGTTTTATTGAATTCACCTCAGACTAATTAGATAAAATATAGCAAGTAGTGAGTTTTATTGAATCCACCTTAAAAACTCAAATCTTTTTAACTTAATCATGTCTGAAATATAATTGATTTTATTAGTCTGATCATAAAAAAAAAAATATTCAAAGTTTTTTTTTTTACGTGAAATATTTATTTACCATTTTGTCAAAATATGAAGTATAATGTTCTTAACTTCTTTTATTTTGTCCAAAAAACAAACAACTGAGGCTTGAACTGAATGTTTAAGAACTGAGACAGGGTTTGTGCAATCCCAGAAACTCTTAGAACTTTGGATAAATATTGAAAAGTCATGGGAAATAGTGACTCAGTATTTTTCTGGGCCAGTTTAAATATTTTTCTTATCTAACTTTAATTTGCCACAGCTGCCATTCATGAAACTCGGTTACTGCATAGAGAGCTTTGGGAAATCCCTGATCTAATTACGACCTTGCAGTTACTTGAGTTTGCTGTTAACTCATGCACAGAATGTTTCTTTAGTCATAACAGATTGAGGGGTATGCAAATGACAATATTAGTATTACATGATTGAGTCCATCTATATTCACTGCATAAAAAAATGCCTGAACAATGCAAATTCCAGGATGTGTAACTTGAGAATGACATGTATATTTGATGGGTACAATGTGCCATGTCAGAGAAATAAAAGCATGATGTAAATTGTGTGTGAAAAACTTTAGTATTTCTAACACGGGAGAATCAGCAATGAAGTTACTTGTGGATTCAAAAAGACACGAGGATAATGAAAAATTAATAACATCTTGCATGTACAATGCTGGACTTTGTTAAGCCTAAAGAAACATTGTTACTAACATTAACTCTTTAAACCATTAATTTTTTGCACATTCTATTGGAATTATTTTCATTAATTCCTAATAATTATTACCATACATTATAAAAATTCAATTTTGTTGATAATAACATGGTTTGAATTAGTTTTCAGTCAAAGAGACATAAATGTTATTGGCCGCTGTCACCGTCTGGTGGGAAAATCAGGATTTTCGGCCAGACACTGGCAGTTTTCACTCAGGTTTAAGGAGTTAAAACATGTCTGTAGAGCTATTGAGGCCTACATCTCTAGCAGGGGCATTGTATAAGGTACCATTAGTTGTGTGTAATGGTACTTTAAAAGCTGAAGGGCCTTGGACCTTAAAATGTGCTATAAAAGCAACAAAAATAATAAATGGGTTTTCCATCATATGCTTCTTGATAGTGAAATTGCCAGATGTTTCTCATGCGGTGAGAGAAAAACCAACCTATCTGGTATAATACCACATCCCCAGATGCAGTTAAGAGATACACTAACTTCACCTGTATCTCATTGTTTGATGAAACACTAAAGAGTGCAGGTGAATCAAAGCAAATGGATGAAAAAAAAACTGTGACATTAAGATACTTCAAATTTAATTTCTTGGGTTTAGGCAATGTTTTCCAAACTGTGGAGCATGCCCACCTTGGAGGTACAGTCTTTTGGCAGGAGAGCCTAGAAATAATGAGAGAGAAAACAAGAGAGTTTGAGACAATGACAACCTAACAAAACTATCACTTTGCTCTCAAACCTTTTTTATGCTGTCACATTTACTCACTCTTTACAAGCAATTTTTCATTTAAAAAATTATTGAAAATGGGTAAAGAAAATGTTTATTTTTTCTGTTATCACTTGTGAAAATTATTTTAATGTGAGGGGGAGGTGCAATAGAAAATTTGCTGAGTTGGGGGTGTGTGGCTATTTAAAGTTTGGAAAACACTGGATTAAGGCAATGCCACTGTTATATTACCAGAATTAATGCCATAGTGTGCTTGTTATAGTTTTCAGGTTATAACTTTTAAATTAGTAAGCGAAGGTTAACAAAATTTGGCAGATCATCAGTAAACATTACAATCCTTTCATATGCAAAATATCAGATTTTTTTTTATTGCGTCTTAAGGTGTGTAAAGCAATGTTTTTTTTCATGCCTTTTTTTTTTTTTCACATGTCGTCTATCTATTTTGCAAAGTAATTTTCATTTTAAGATAAAAAAATACTTTTATGCATCAGAAAATTTTCAAATTTCATATGTGAATTCTTTATAATGTCCAGATAGTTATCAAATGCTTCTTAAGAAAAAAACTTCATATTTTATCTGTTATTTTCAGTAATTAATCTGTGTACGGGTTAGGTAGATTTGACTGATCTATTAATTACCATAAAAATCAGGAAATAAATATAAATTATGCCTCTCATTCTAGAATGA